TTGGACGCTACATGCTGGCCCCCTCCTCCATCGACCCGTCGCCTCAGCCTCGTGGGCCGAGGTGGTCAGGTAGCCGCGCCACCGGCCTGACCGCCCCGTGCGGCATTGTTGGTGCCGTTGTTGGTGCCATTCTTGGTACCGCTCTTGTTGCCTGCGCCATTGCCATTGTTCTTGCTGGTGGCATTGCCGGCGTTTGCGCCGCCCGCGCCTGGGGCAGGCGTAGGGGAAGGGCTGCTCGCAGGGGCAGACGCATTGGCACCGCCAGCCGGAGGCAGAGCGCCGGTCGGCGCCCCAGCAACCTCGAGACACCCGGTAGGTCGGACGGCGGAGACCTCCGGCATGCCCGCGGCGGCAAAGTACATGTCAATGTTGGGGAAGCACGTTGACGCAGCGGTTGTTGTTAATGGCATTGACGTCGGCCTGCGCCGTGTCCGGGCCGTTGTTGACCATGGCCTGGAGGACGTCGACGACGTTCTGGAACGTGCCCTGCGTTTCGAGGACCTCGTTGGCGCTCTGGACCATGGGGTTGTCGCTGAGGCCGGCGTCGAGGATCTTCTTGTGGTTCAGCTCGTCCAGCTCGGCGTTGAGCGCAATCTGCGCTTGCCGGGTGAACTCGTCGCCCGTCAGCGACGTGGCCGTGTTGACAAAGTTGGTGACCTTGCCCGTGTCGTTCATCCAGCCCATGACGGCATTCATGAGCTGCGTGTCGCTGGGGGTGTTGTTGGAACCAGCGCCGCCGCTGTTGTTGTTGTTGTTCGCCGGCGGCGCCGTGCCATTGTTGGCCTGTCTCATGGCAATGAATCCAGCATTGCTTCGCACGCGATGGCCATGGCCAGCTGCTGGCGCAGCAGTGGTGAACGCGGCGAGGATCGAGAGGCCCACGGAGAGAGGGAGTGTGGTATGCATCGTGAGGAGGACGTGGCAGAGTGCTCCGAACAGGAGGCTACAGCATTAAAGAAGGTATTGAGTTCCCGGGAGTGTCGGATCCGAAGAGGTCAACCTCTTTGTGTGAAGGAGCGAAGGGGCAGTGAGGGACAGAGAGTGTAAAGCGAATTAGTAACAGGGGGCACCAGGCAAAGAAACAAAACAGAGCGGAACTGCTCGGCAAGGCGAGGGAAGCAGTGAGAAGGCCCTGATATTTCAGTTGAACAGACTCAAGGTCTCGTCATGGGTTACTGGGGTCTGCCGTCGAGCGCAGCCGGGGTTTGCGATGGAGATGGTGTCGCGTTGCGCCCCGAGTGTCCTTGTCTCGACACAAGCTACGTGAGGTGTGTGTCATTCGCTCCTCAAAGGGGCGGTTTTGGCCGAGAGAACAAGAAAAGAAGCCAAGAAAAGCTCGAGACGACCCCAAGACGAACATGAGCCAAGTGGTTCGTTTGAAGGAATGGTAAGTCACCTCAGTGGACCATCATCAACGGTTTGGGTGTGCCACGGAGAATCATCCGACACAAGGAATCGGGCGAGGCAACATTTGATCAGTTCCTGTGTAACATCTTGCACCCGGCGGAACGACACGCAATGTCTAATGAGTCGGTACAGACAATCGTTCTCATGAAATCTTTTCGACTTTCGCTACGAGGGCCGTGCCAGGGCAAAGACGACGACGACGAGACGCTCGAGCGCCCTTGATACCTTCACTCGCATAGCTCACCTTACCTACGACATTCCCAATTGATTGGAACTAGAGACCGAAGATTGACGGCTGAGTTGTTTCGCTAACGCTTTCTTTCGTGCGCTTAAGATCGACGTGATCCATCCTCCAAGAACGTGAGCCCCTTGGAGATCCACGCTCATCCCCCACAAAGATCGATGGCCGCCCACTCCCGCTTGGACCTCGTCCACGTTGCCCCTCAGTCTCGTTGGGTAAGGGTCAACGCCAACCTCGAGGAGGTCGAGCACATCCTCTGCCAAGGCCCCCTCTTTGTAGCACAAGTTGGGCATAAAACAATTTCAACTATTCGGCTTTTCGGAAGAGGAATCGTTAAGCTTAAGACCTCAAACGCCTTTAACTGCCCGTGTCCTAAGTCAGCACGAGACCAATCGCAACATCGCTCTTTGGGCCATACCGAAACCGTGTCTGGTCACTCGACAGCATGGACATCCCACGTCCTCTAGGGGCTCGGATTGTTCTGGCGAAGAGCCTCCTCGCCCACCACTAGCCATCCCATCTTTGTTGAAACCCTTCTCGACCGTCACCGAAACCTTCCTGTCGTGACTAACCTTCAATGCACACGCCAAACTGACGCTCTTCGCATTGCCCTGAGCCACCGTTGCATTCCGACAAGCGCGGATGCCCTCCTGTCCGATCCCTCAACGCACGGCAGTGAGACCTCCGCCACTGCCAGAACAAGGTCGTCCAACCACGGAGCCTTGCCCTGCGACAGCTCATCTCGACCTGAGGATGGCTTTTCGGCTTGGTCTGGCTCACATATTGCCCACCGTCATAGCATCACGTTTAATGATGGGATTAGTCTGATCGCCATCACCTTTCGACCGATGTTTGAGGATCCACTCTTCCATTTATATCATCAGTCTCATGCCCATCCCTCTTTTTCTTTCCTTCTACTTCACAGTAGCTCGAAGCGTTGTCCTTCTGACAGACCGATTTTCAGTGTGTTCTTGTCTGTCCCGCGGGCTCGGTCTCGGTGTCTGTCCCTCCTTCGTTTCTCTTGACATCCCTCAGCCCCGGTGGTTGATTGTATTGATTGTCTCTCATTCTTAATTTTTGTTTCCTTTTTCACTATTTCTTTCTTCTCTTCCATCATATTCGCTGGCGATCATCATGCTGTCAATCAAGCGGTTACCACTTGCTTTGGTCGTGGTGTGGTCAAGGTTTTCCTTCACAGCTTTGGCGCAAGACCAAAACGTCCAGTTCAACCAAGTCGTCAACATCAACGGCGATGTGAGTTTCAATTTTCTGCAGTATCTCCTAGCAGCTCTGATTCCTTACTAACATGCTCTACAGATGCAACTGAACCGCATCATCATGCCTGACCAGTCGAGAATCGAGACATTCTCACAAACGCAGCGTCAGGTCATCGTGAACCAAAATCCTGCGCCTTTGCCGGCAACCCATGTCGTCGGCAGCACGGGACAGCCTTTTATGCAGCTGTCGCCGAATGCCATGACTATCCAAACGAATCAGGCCACCGATCTCGTGGGTGGCTCTATCATTATGCCTTTCGATCGCAACGCCCTCCAGCAGAACCAAATCACCCCCGATAACACCTTCGTTGCGAAGCTATCCCCTGACCGGCAAGCGTGGATCATCCTTGAGGGTGACAAGTCTGTGAACGAGTAGGTCACGCACCGGGCTGAAGCTGTACTGTTCCGGAAGACTGACTTGAATAGGGGCGAATCGAATGTCCGCATGACCCGCATGACCAACATTGATGGCGAGTATGTCGTTGTTGGCCGCCGCACTACCGAGACTGGCGTTTCCCTCACTCAGTTCAGCCAAGACCCAAACCAAGCTGTCCAAATTCAGGGATCGGGCATCCAGGAGGTTGAGTTTCAAGACGGCTTCCGCATGTCTATCCGTGCAAGCCAGCCCATGTCTATTCAGGTCAACGTTGTCAACGGCGTCAGCTCGGGCATGATCATTAGCGGCACTCAGCCCGTCAGTACGTGATGCTACTTTATTTTGAGCTACCGACCTCAGTTAACACAGCGTAGACAACTATCGTTACCTCGTTTCCAGTAACCTGGCGGGTGTTCAGTCTGACCTGAACCGCATGGCGGCTGTAGTTCAGATCCCCTGTACGTCCAGATTACTCACTTCCGCTTATTTTATCATACCCAACTAACATTTGCCGCAGTGAACGCCGAACGCCTGATGCAGACTGCCCAGCAGATGGGAGCCGGCCCCAATGATGCCGTTGCTCTCAGCATCGAACAGCGCGCTGTTATACAGAACCCTGGTGGCGCAACTGGTCAGCTGTCGCCTGCCCGTCCCAACAAACGCCAGGAAGCTACTCCAAGTGACCCGGCCGCTACCGACACTGCTGCGTCTTCTGCTGCTCCCACTCAGACACCAGATGCTCAACAGCCTCCTCCTGCGGAGAGCCAGCCGCCCACTCCCCCCGCTCAGGACCAGCAGCCCCCCCCTGCTCAAGGTCAGCAGCCGCCCCCTCAACAAGATCAGCAACCTCCTCCTCAGCAGGGCCAGCAGCCCCCTCCCCAACAGGGTCAACAGCCCCCTGCTTCCCCCCCTCCTCCCCCTCCTCCTACTCAAGGCGTTGCTCCTCCTCCGGCTGCCACACTGCTGCTTCTGGAGCCGACGTTCACCCCAATTGCTAGACAAACACTTCTTGACTCGGAGGGCGGCCGCATCGCTGTGCCTGTTGACTCTATCGACGGCGAGTTTGTCCTTGTCATGCAGCTCGCCGGCCAGGCACAGCCCGGCCAGATTCCCGGTGGTCAGCTGCCTGGCGGTCAGCTCCCCGGCGGTCAACTGCCCGGTGGTCAGCTCCCCGGCGGCCAACTACCTGGTGGTCAGGTTCCCGGTGGTCAAGTCCCCGGCACCCAACTCCCTGGCGGCCAAGCCCCTACTCAGCCGCAGCCAGCCCAGCCCAGCCAGCCTCCCGCTCAGGGTCAGGGCCCCATCGGCGGCGTCATGAGCATGATCCCTATCGGGCAAGAGCAGCAGCCAAGTGCCGCTCCCGCAGCCGTTACGCCCACCCCAGTTCCTATTCCCGGTTTTCCGGCCCCGGACCCCGCGGCCCCGGCTGCCGCTCCTGCCGCCCCCGCCACCCCTCAACAGCCCGCCAAGCGCCAGCAGCCTCCCCAGGGCGCTATCGTTATGAGCATGAACGAGCTCAATTCCATGATGTTGCGCCAACAAGGCGGCAGTGCTTGGGTTGGTGTTATGCTCGACAAGTACGTCTCCGAGATGACCGGTCAGCCCATGCCCAACCGTCAACCTGCCGAGCCCCGACAAGGCCTACCAGCCGCGCCCCCGGCTCCCCTGCCGGGTACAAACACGCCTCTTGCGCAGAAGACGAGAATGTCCCGCAACCTGAAGCGGGCTACACGAAGAGTCCCGCTGGTGGTGTAACAGATGACAACATGGCTCACGTCAATGAATGTAGAAAGAAGGCCTTCGAGCTTGAGATCACAAGTAGTTTCGATGCGAGCTTCAGGTGTCTAGGGCATGCCACTGGTATCCAGATTAACCTGTTGTTCCATCCTCCACAAAGTATATTTCGCTTGGCTTTGACGAGAAAATGGAACATACTCCACACTACGTTATTCAATTTCAAGCTCGTCAACGAGGCGGCTGGTCTGCTCTTCTCGAGCTCATGTGGATAATGTTAATTTTTCTGAGCCTTCAACCGCCCTCATCACATTCCTCGTGTCAGCTCTTCGTAACCTCTTGCCGTCCTGTCACATTTGCGTAGTAAGCTTGGCCACCACAACCTTCCAAGTATATTTCGTTCCTCGGTACGATCTCTCGCCAATGCCGGGCTCAACGTGCGGACTTCTGCTGGTGCACACTAGCGTCTCTGGCATAGGTTCCTCCTAATGTTTTGTTTCGGCAGCGGAGTCAAGGGGGCGCGGGGGTTGTGACGGGCACGGACGACTGCCGTGTCTGCGTCTCAGCTGAGAACCTGCGGCCAGATCCGGTCGGCGTCTTTTTACGTTGCGGCACTAGGGCCTGGTGAGCTTGGTTTGACGGCTGCCTGCGTAGCGCTGCACGACCAGGGCAGCGATAGCGTTGTTCGACTAGTATGCTGCCTTTCTAAATAATGAACGGTCCTCGGCGAAAAACTGCCAAACACTCTAGCAACTGCTTTTGAGCTGTGGGATGTCGCTACTGGGTACTAGGACTTTGGTAGATTTAGGAATCTCGCGTGATATTAGGGCCAAATATGAGCCAGCTGCGCGATCACCCAAAAGGCGCAGCAAATCACTGAACACTACGTAACGATAACGGATCGAAGAAAGAGAAAAATGAGGAAAATTCCATTCTAAAAACGAAACCATAAAAGAACGCCTCGCTATCTCGGCTTAAAAGAGTGCATTATTCGCACAAGTGAACGGGCCACGAATCTCATTTTCCTCGTTATTGAAGACATCCAGCAGGCCCATGATGGCCGCCCACATGCCGGCAGAGTTCATGAACAGCGACATGACGATGATGAGTACGTTCAGAACGAAGAGCGATATCTTGCGCCAGTTGGCAAACATTTGGCCCCGGTTGAGATGGAACCAGAATATGGCGCTGATGCCGAACGTCCACCATGCAATGAGGGTGGCCGAGGATATGGACAGGATGGAGTCGAAGACGGGGATGCTGTTGCCGAGGATGAAGGCCAGCAGCCAAAAGATGGTCGCGCAGCCGACCCAGGAGCCCCATGAGCGCACATTGCGGGAAGTGAGCTGGTCAGTGGCCTTCTGCCAGCGCATAGCCGTGACGTACATGAACTTGATTGCCGTGTGGCCAAAGACGACACCCGTGGCGAGAAGACAGGGCAGCATGACGCCGTAGGCGATCTTGGCTGGAACAGGTGGCGCTGAACCGAGCGACGGACTCGTAGTGTATTGGCCGGCCAGACAGTAGATCGTAATGGCGACGATGATGTAGAGCGGGATGGAGAAGGACTGCAGAATTACAAGGCCTGGGAGGAAGTCACTAGAAGGGTCCTTCATCTCAGCAAGAAGACTGGGAAATCCGACGTTGCCAGCATAGGCATACGCGACTTGGAGGCACGAGGTAAGACCTTCACGGAAGGTCGGGTCGCCGATAACTTTGACTTCTTTCTCAAAGGGGATCGGGGCGCCCTGGGGGTCGGCGATACCAAGTGAGATCATGACGATGAGGACAGCTGCGAGAACAGAAATGGTGAAT